TTACATTCTTCTTAAGATTCAAGTAAGAGGCGTGTAAAAATAGTATGTTAGATCCATCTTATATCTATCACATGTCACTCCCCAAGGGGTCTCTAGTATAATATCTCCACTGGTCATTTGGGCTGGACAATGAAAGACAAAATATTCTTTGAAACATTATTTATATATGTTGTATAATACTTTAAGTATTTACGATATGTACAAATAAATGAAGTGTAACGGCTCATTTGCCGAAGTTTCTAGATATTAAAACAAGTTAACTCTCAAAATAATTACAATTTTCACTAGGTCTGTTGTAATATATAGGTATACTAGGCGTTTTCTGCCTTCTTTATTTTGTAAAGGGAAATTTTAATGTTCACCTAGTTCACTCTAGTTACATATTGTTCTGGTTCATTGTCCTATGGAAACAATTTCCAAACTTTTGTCCTGTGTATCCTATTTTGAGACATAAAAATCTATGCGACTCCAGTCCTCACCCAAAACAACATAACAATCAACAAATCCATGGAGCGATTTTCAAAGCTTTTAAATTCAGAACAAAAGGAGGCATAATTGTAATCACCTTCTTGCAACCACATCAACTGATTTCGTGACCCCACATGGGAACCATGACCTATGGTATCACGTGCACTATCTCATGGGAAAGACTGCTGTAAATTAGAACATACAGTATAAAGGTGGTCAACAATCTTTTACACTGGAAGGTAAGGTGATACTTTGGGAGTACAACCTTCCTTATTTTTCGATTGGAACAACCAACAGTGACGTAGTTAGCGCATACATCCTGAGAAGGATAGCACTATGTACATAATTCTGTTTTCTTAGGCTGTACCAGATCTTCTGCAATTTTCACAGACTGAGAGAGATCAGCAGATTTCTGGAAGCTTCAGTAAAGACATCATTCTTCCTCTACACATTATTTTTTTATTATTTTGTGTTGAATAAAGATCATTTTCACTATGTTACACATTATGTCCATTCTTTTTCTTCTTCACAACTCAGTCAAAGCAGAACTCAGTTTAACCCCATAATATATTTTCTATTCAAACCTCCTTTCATCTTGCGAATCATATCGAATTAAACGAAGGGAAGTCGATGAACTTGTGAATACCAAACTAGTATAGCTTAGCTCCTTACTTATTTACATGAAAGTTAGATATGATATTGTTCTTAATTTAAAACCTGGTTTAAAATGTTTAAACAGTAACTTAGTTCACTAAGTCAAAACAGTTTCTGAAGACTAACACAGTACGTTAATAATATTCAACAATCTTAGTAACAAAGAATGTTTTGGCTTTTAAAACGCTCTTGATTTTTCTATATGATATGATTTTTTATTCAAGAAATCACATTTTATACACATGTTAAAAATTTTTATATATCTATAAGGTTTTCTGTATTATTCTCTAAGCTTAGTGATTATTCACGAGTCATACCATATATTTGCTACCCCCTTGTTTAATATAGACATTTTCAAAATTTTAAATTACGTATGTATGTAGTTTTAACTGAATGTGCACAGGAGAAGGAATGCTGACCATAATTCCAAATTCACTGCGTATATCTAAACGAAATGTGGCAAGCTTTTAGTAAAATATACAAGTATGTTGTATATAAAAAATTCAGTTATGTTACAAAAATATTTATACTCAAGATACGTCTGTGAATTGACAACGTAAGTCTGACTCAGACTATATCAAGTCAGAGTGCTAGGTGATGTTCATGGGAAGAGTAAAATTAATTTTGTATATTGAACAGCTTGCATATTGCATTTGTATAACCTCTGAAACGCATACCTACATTGTTTTCAGTATTCCCGTATATTGTATCCGGTATTTACTTTCCATTATCATGAATTGTTACTACATCAGTAACAAAGGGTAAAATGAATAGTTGGTAACTTTGACATCAAATTCATAATACCATGTTGATTGACGCTTTTTAAGAGGTCGTGGCATTTATACTTCGACTCCCAACTACACAAATAGGATTAACATAGAATGTATATCATAAAAGTAGCTAAGTTTGAGTTGCCCTAACTACCTATTGTTCTGAACCTTTCATCTTCGGTATCACCTGTGTCTTTTTCTCGAGAAAGATTTCCTTAAAGTTCGATGTACCATATAAAAGTAACGGATTTTTTTCCATTGGCAAGTCAGGTTATCTCTCGAGGGTAAAACATCCCTTACATTTCGATGGGGGAAAATATTCACTTTGGTAGTATGAAACAACTACTACTTCAATATAACTCAAATTTTCAAAATATACAACTTTTTAATAGATATACAGAGCTTTCTGCAGTTAAAGTTCCAGCCTTTATAAATTCATTATTTTAATTGTTCATGTGGTTAGAACAAAGATTGTTTCATTTTGTTATTGTGTCCCGTCTCTTTCATGTTTTAAAGCCCAGTTAAAAACCGAGAATCTAGATTTGTTCCCCGATACATTTTCTGTCGGATCTCCTGTTATTCTGAAGAGCCTCCTTGATCACTTTTAAAAGAAAGTAAGTGCACTTGAGAATGACACATCTATCATTTCGTAAAAAGTGTAGTTATTCAACCAAAATGTTGCACAAATGGCTGGAAAGTTGCAACATATCGATATAATTTTGATAATCAACCATATAACATATGATAACAAACAAGTCAAATCAGCGTATATTTCAAAATCCACAACAAGAAACAATTTACAAAAAAAATAAAAAAAATCAGTGTTGCAAAACAAAATAGTTTTGTTTGCTTCAACGATTACTAGGTGCTTCTGACGAAAATGCTGATTCGCCCAGCAAGAAACGCCCGTAGCCTTGACATTTTAGCTTAAAAAGCACATATTTTTGAATGAGTAGAAACATTCAGAAAATTGAATTTCCACAAATTTTTTACTCGTATCTTTATTTGTTTTCCAGCTATGAAACACCAAAGTTCGTGAGTTAAATCTTTTGCCGCAAAATTTAAACTGGCTAACACTGCATAGCATATTTTAATTTGATAGCATCTATCTTAAAAAATTAAATATAGTTATTAAAAATACAACAGTTCTATTATAAACAAACATTATATTTTGGAAATAGTTTTTCTGGGTCAGTAACGTCGACAATTTAAAATATCCGCTGGCGCTGAGCCTCAATCCGTTTTCCACTTTAGGTCGCTACTAGCAACGACCTATATAGACAGTTGGTTACTTGTAGCATTCATAAACGAGTATTTTTCATTGTAGTGTGAACTCATATATTTCCTAACAGTTCGATTAGGCTGCTTCGTAACAAACATTTTTTCTGCCATATTCTGTTATAGGTTATAAACTACTTTTCCTATAATAAGAGCCTACTCATATAAATTATAGCCTCAAGGCCGTAGTATAATTTTACGAGTTGCGTGTAGTCTCGAAATGACTCAATTTAACCTTGGGTTTGTGACTGCCGTCTCGACAAGTGTGTAAAACCGAGCGCAAGAAAACGTCACACTTTTGCGGTAACACCCACAGACTAAGACGCCAAATGGCGTCGTCTGGTCGTGTATTTTGAGTCATTTTTATTTCGGACACAGGAGTTACTATAGCGAGTGTATTATGAGTTCATGAGTCGTTAAACAGATAAAATAGATATAACTTTTGTTGGTGAAAGTGTAGTGTATTATTTACAAAACAGTTTCCTTTGTTTTGTTTATCAGATATTCGTGCCTTTGCACGAATATCCGTAAGAACTATCTGTGCTAGCCGTCTCTAATATCAAACTGATACACAAGAGGGAAGTCAGCTTAGGCAACAGTACCTACCACCAACTCTTTTTCTAACCGAATTGTGGAATTTGACCGTTACCCTTATAACGCACCCAAAACTACAAAGCGTGGTGTGGGATATGTTTTGATGGTAGTGGGACGCTAACAAAGGACTCGCAGGTCCATAATTAGGCACACGGTTGGCCAGACTCACCCCCATGAAATAGTTACATAACAAAAATCGCGTGATAAGACATGTTTGGCAAGGTATGAAAGCAGACGTCCATACTTGTATCTAATTTTTTACAATCAGTGATACACAAATAGTGTTCCGCATAATCACCCACAAAGATGTAAAGCGACATGTCGTTCTAACGTATGTTTCTGTATTTCAGTAATGTTTAAATATTTAAATGAACTAGCCATGATTTGCGTAACATTAAATAAAGATATACATTGCAATACGACTTTTCTTTTCGATGAGAATTTGTGTTATTGATATGATTTTCTCTATTCTACAAGTTCTGGTTCACAGTATTGCGCTTACAGCTAGACTGGCAAAATATTATATTAACCTATTTATTTAAAGTTGAATTAATGAAGTTCACTTTTCCCACGAACCATTAGAAGTGCACAATTACCCATCATTTAACCAAAATTACTATAAATGTAAATACTGATTGAAATGTAAGTTAATTACTTATGTGTAACCATCAAAGTCCTATGATAATGTATGTATAAAATTTCGATAAATAAAAATTAACACGTATTTTGTCTTAACTTACAAAGTTTTTACTGTAAACATGTTCATCAGGTCTTGTAATGAATTCGCGCAAGATCTGATACATTTACTAAATGTAAAATATAAAGCAAAGTTACAGAAAAATGAGGTGAGAATTTATCTAATCCTTCAAGGTGCAGAATTTCATCTCATGTAGTGCTAATACTTGTGAATGGTGATTTTTACCTATAATTCTATTTTACAAGTTTTCCTTTTGTTTTATCACACATTCCATGGAATGGTTAACTACATAAAAGAGTTTCAATACATTTAATTGAATACATATACTTATTATTACTGGATGTAAAAAAATTAAAGTACATCCATTTCTGCCTCAAAACAGTACTTTCACCAATTATTCTTGGTGTCACAACACAGGTTGACATTTTTTTTTCTCTTAATTCTTGTATTATTTTACATTTATAATGGTGGCTCTTCAATTTTTTTATCTTTATCTCTGGCAAAATACAGATAAATAATAAAAACAATTGTTTGCTGCCTTGATTATCAAGTGAAATTTATTGTTTGTTTAAAAATACATGTAAACACGTTTTGAATAACTTGTCCCAATTAACAATCCACCAACCAACCTAACACCTCTAACACTAATTCTACAAAATCGTTTTAAAATCTACAAATAAACATAATTTTTCATAAAATCAAATGGCTACCTAAGCTTTCCATAGAAAATACTACATCCTTTAAAAAAGTACCTCAGATAGATATTTGATATTAAACAAAGGTTATGCAAAACCAAACAATTTTCATTGTAGCAGCACTATTGAAAGGTGTTAAAGGACAAAAAATGAGCAACTTATGCCTTCCAGCAGTATTTGTTTATATAAAAAAGTATGTTTTATGGTATTCTAAATACCATACACAGCATTCCAAAAGAAATACACACACAGCTTCATTTTTGGTTATACTAGAAAACATAATTTTCATAAATCTCAGGATACTATATATTATAGCACAGGTATCTGTAGATCAAACCTTAGGTTTTTCTCCAAACATGGATTTCTACCTGAACCAAATCTTATACAATGGCACAATGTAAACTTTTTTTATGAAACTATTTAAACTGAAGAAACTTAAAATCATTTTCACATAAACATAAAACATCAATAACTTAAGTGATGCTTTTAAACTGTATATTGTTATGAAACCAATCAAAATATTAAGGCAAAACATTAAAGATTCACTTGGCTGTCTTGTCAACACTATAAGTATACTATGTAACAAAAATTATTTGAATTATTTAATTAAAGCTTGGAAAGAAGTTACAGTTGCACCATTCATTGTACTTAATGGATACTGCACACCTCCTTCATACAGATAAAAATTCACTATCATGGATCCAGCATGACAGGATTAGGATACTGGAAAATAACTTTCAATATGCAATTAAAATTCTTGATATATGTCTATTGAACTAATTGTAATTGCCTACACTAATCAAAATGTTTATGTATTAAATTAGACACTTTAAAGATGAGTATTATCTACTGAGTTCATATATGAACTAATTTTAAAATTAGGTAAAGAGAATACACAATAAGTTTTATAAAATATACAGATTTAACTTTCAAAGTTAAACAAAGGATCTTGGTATGAAGGATAGCACAAATTATTTTCTGTCAAAATCTTAGTACTACTTATGTATTAAAATATTCTCTGTTTCTAATAATAATATGATAATCTCTCAGAGAAAAGTTCAGCAGTTGCATGGTATTAAAGTTGTAAATAAAAGAAAAGTACAAAAGTTTTGAATTTTAACAAGATAAAAAAAACAATAATAATGTGAAAAGGATGATGAAAAGCTTATCTAATACCAGCAAATGAAATGGGGCTTGAATACCAACTCACCCTTTTGCCCTTTATTTAACTGTTTTATGAGTTTGACAATCTTTCCAAAGTATTCCAGAGCATTGGTTACAAAAATAACATTTTATTAACAAATACAACTACTAAATGATCAGAATATGATGGTACTTCTGATCTGAAGTATTGCTTCTGTTCACATACAATTTTAAATATAAAATATCCATTGACTCTCAATTAAGGCACTTCATGCTGCTGATATAGATATATACAACTTATGTTGTATTCTGTAATTATAACCATAGCACTCACTAACTATTTCTCTGCCTTTACCATAAAAACATCTGGCACTTTGCAATAACAAGTTGGACATTAAAAATACAAACAAAATTTATCTGTATAATTTATCTCAAAAATTATATGAAATGGCACTTAGTAATGCACTAATTTTGTCAAACTTTGATGCTTGTGAGTAAAATACTGCAAGAAGACATACATTATTATAAAGTATTAATTTTATCTTTAAATCAAAAAATGCAGAGATGAATAAAATAACTGAAGATCTAATACAAAGTGTACTAATTAAATTTCTGAATTTTAACAATTCTGCTGTTCAGAAAAGCAGGCTTTTTTAGGTAAATCGCTTAGTCCTCAAAATCTGTATGTGCAGAAAGAATTATTTTTATCAGCAATTTTGCTGTTTCTTCTCTACTTATGCTGACCAAATTAAAGCATGGATTTTTTATCTTTTATGGTGATTAAAGTTATTTATATCAAATGTAACTGCAACATTTTTAGGAAAAAAAAAAAAACAGTCAGTAGAAAGGCTGATTCCCCTGTTTGTGTACTTAAAGATTGTGTTTTCTTTTCAGCAAAATTCAAATTTCTATTTTTATTTCAAATAGTGACCTTGACCTTTTAACCACAAAATCAATATAGTTTTTCCCCATACCCAATGAAGTTTGAGTGAAATACACTATTCAGAACTATTTATCATGCAGAAAATTAGATGTCTACAGACTGACAAATGAATGGAAAATATCACTGCTATATCTCTCAAACATTTTTGGTAAAGGTGATAAAAAATGCAAATGAAATCCTTTATGAACAAAAAACATTTTAGTGTAGTGACTTCAATTCTTATCTTCTAGAAGGAATTTTATATAAACTACAATGGCTATAAAAAATTATTTAGTTTCATATCTTGCTTCTCTAAATATTATAAAAATAGCCTATACAAAGAAAGTTAGGAAGTTTTTGATATTGAAAATGATTAGTACTAACAAAATGATATATTCCACAATATGTTTAATTTTTACCATATACCTTCCACTATTCCATGTGAAATAGTTTTCAAAAACATTGCAAAGAAAAGAGATAGGTTTATAAAATATATTCATTATAAGTACAACAAGTACAGTAACGATATCACAGCATAACCAGTTTGAGGTATGTTCTAATATTATAAAAAAAACATATAATAAAGTAAAAACCACAAATTCTGAAAAAAATCATGCTACCTGCTAAGAAATTGAATGTTATACATTTAAATTTACTATTTCTATTTTAATTATCTAAAAAATCAGCACTATACTTTATTTGATTTTAAACTAGAATCTATAGATAGCTGGAAAAAAACCAAAAAACTCTGTCTCTCTCTCTTTGTTCCATATAAAATGTAAGCTCTTTAAAAATATATGCTTTTATGCTTGGCTATTAATTGTATTAATCATTTCACTGAATGACTTGCAACTGTCTGAAAGTCATAAACACAGGGGTTTAATCATGACAGGGAATCTTCTTAGAAGTTTCTTTAATTAAAGCTATAGGTAAGACTTTCAGTATTCAGAGAGAGGCTTGAAAGAGACCATAAGTCTTGCAATGTCCAAAATGCACTAATATGTGCAACATTATCTTCACTCAAACTAGAAAACAAGATACTGGCCTTAATAACTGCATTGCATTCACCCACTAGACAATTGTAAGCTTACAGTATGTTTTCATACCCCATCACTATAGAAGATATGTAAAAAAGAAAAATCGCAAAACCAGTCTTGGAAAGACTACAGTGTGGAAGACTTACTATGGGATAAAAATCATAAAATTTACATATAAATTCAAACACATGCAAAAAAAAAAGCAACTTGATGTTCACAAGTTTAGTTTAAATCAAAAAGTGCATCTTTTCCTGCTGACTTCAATGTATCTTGTTGGAAGTTTCTCTTGATATGCTTTGTGGTTACATAACTAAATGATACAAGTCTGAAGTCCTTGATTCTTTACAATAGTTCATTACTCCCAGGTAACCTATATCTGGGTAGGAAAAGTCCAAACTTAGACTCCATTCCTGAGAATACAGCTCGAGCAAGCTTGTAACCACCAATATGGTCAGGATGCTCAGACCTCTTCTCAGATGGTTGGATAGGCACTGTAACTTCGGAACCTTGTGGTGGCCTATGAACAAAAAAGTAGCAATTATAACAGATGGAGATTCTGGTTATTAATTATTAATATCATACTGTTATTATATAAAACAAATTATATTTTATTACCTAAAAGGGATATGTAACATAATTTAAATCCACATGTCTTAAAACAAAAAACCCTTGCTATCATTCAGTAAAATTAGAACAAAAATAACAATAATTATGGTGATGGAGGCAGAGATCACAGGGGACTTGAATTATTTGTTCAACACCAGGAAGAAAATCACTCCAGTAGTTATAATTCTTCTCCTCTTATAATATTGATCTACAGAGCAGGAAAAAGTTAAAAATGCCATCCATTGGATGCATGAAATAGAGCTATTACATTAAAAGTCATAAAGAGATTGAAGTGGCTGGGCACAGTAACAACTGATTAGGAAAATAAATTTTGTAAAAAAAATATATACCTGATGATATACACTCAGAAATCAAAGTACATCATCAAAATTACTGAATCTTGAGTGTATAAAATATTTGACAAAAGTGACAAAAAAGCTTAAACAATTTATATAATATCTAAAATAAAAATGATTTTGCCTCTCTGCAACCTACCTTCCACCAAAGTCCACATAGAATAACCTTTGCAAGATTTCATACGTCAACAGAGTAAACCCAAATTGAGGAGAAGACCGGAAAACTCGAGCTGAATATAATAACATGTGGTTATTTCCTTGCAACATTTTAACTATAGATAACGTAAGGAATAAAATTCTTGTCACTATTACTTAAAATAAGAAATGCCTTAGTTCTTACACACTTTTCATAAAACCTCTTTGATCCTTTAGACCTTGTAGCAAAAACATTTCATTAATGAATTATAATGAAACATCACAAATAACTAATTTGCACAATAATGATCACTGCTACATTTATTTGATAACTATTGTGATTTATTTACCTACTATTGAGAAAATGTGAGACAGACAAATTAATTCATATAATTTTTTTAAGTAGATTCTTCTCTTTTTATCAAATACTGTAAAAAGTTCACTGAAGCAGATATTTGTATCTATGGCACACTGCTAAGACTATCCGCTGCTGTCCTTAATTTTGAACAACAAACCAGAAAGAAGGCAACCAGTCAGCTGCACTTTACCACCCACCAGCCATACTACGGGACTGGACTGTTACTCTGATAATATACCCATAGCTTAATGTCAAAAAAGTATTTTCTCGTATTGTACAGATTCCAAAATGGATCAACAGCAGTTCTCAAACTGTGGTCTGTGGGTTCCCTTCAAGTGGCCCATAAAAGCTGCATAATTACAGAAAAGAAGAAGCAACATTGTGTGTATAGATTCCATTGTGGTCTTCCAAGGTATTATTAAATAAATATATGAAAAACAGATGCTCTGTGAACAAAAACATTTGAGAACCACTGTTCTACAACATTCAGAAGACTAAAAAGTTAAATTGTTAAACTATCAATTTGAATTCAGAAATAAATTAAATAAATTTTGTATGTTCTTTGGTAAAGAAAAAACTTGATTATGCATTATCATTATAGGAATTTTGAAATTTGTCAGATTTGATACTAAACATCACATCTCATCCTTAAGATGAATTACTGTACAGTTACACTTCCAATATTTATTATTTTTAGGACAACTATTGGATAGAACATTCACAGCTGTACCATGTGAAAAACATGTGAAGGTAGGTGGGAGCATAAAGACTGGTGGCAAGCAAAAATGGCAGTACAAATCTAGGAAAACTATTTTGTGAGGTATGTATCTATTATAAATATATTTTCAGTGTAGGAAAATATTAACTTTCAGCACTGGATATAGGCATCATGTTACATGATATTATCAATTATAATACAATGTTTTTCAAATACTTTTAGTGATATTCTTTCAGACTGTAAGCCATATAAAGCTGATTGATATGTAGGTTGAATGGTTAATGAGAATAATGGCTGACCTAAATCACTTGCTTCCCCATTATCATTAGAATATCACTCCACTTTCATTTCTCACAGTTGCTTTATCAGCTTAATATCTCATTGTAGCATGGAAATAAGCAGGTGACAACCCTCCACCAAAAGGAGTGCGACATACCCACCTAGCACAGATGATTCCATTTATGCAGTAAAACCCAACCTTCACTTCAAGATTAGGCATGAAAAACAAACTGGAAGTGGGGAGGAAGGGTGGGAGGTGTGATAAGATGTAAGTATCTATCAGGAATATATTTTCAGTGAAGGAAAATATTAACTTCTCTCACAAATGTAGAGGAAACACACTCGTAGGAGACCTCACTACATCTGAACCAGATATACTTTTTTCCCTCGATCAATGAATGTGTCGCAAAATGGGTGATAAAGAGACACATCTGAAAAGAAGTAAATGCCAGTGGTGTAAAGTGGCTAGTGTGCATCAGACCGTAAGCAGGAGGTCAACTCCAGTCCAAAACGAGCAGTACTGAGATGGGATCAATTGGCCCACAGTAGGAGGAGGGTCTTCTACCATTCATTTGAGATGCAGGAACGAGAAGAGAAGAAGGATTTACATTCTAAGAACCCAAGTCATCATGTGTGCATATCCAACAAGACCAACACCTGTATTCCCAGAGAACCGACATCTGGGCGATGGTAGGAAGGTGGAAATGCAATGTGGAGGGTCAACTCCAGTCGAAAACCACATGGGCATTGGTAATATATCGTTCAGTTTGCAGTAGGAGGAGGGTCCCACCCCACTCACATGTGAAGACTTACGTTGATTGGTCTGGCTCCAATCAACACCATTCGCCTGGGAACCAATATTCCAGCAGCAGTAGAAAGGAGGGTTCCCAGTCATAAGGCTGAACTGCATATTTAAATGTGATGGAAAAATCCGCACACACCAAACAGCATCCAGAATAATACATCAAACCCATGATAGGAAGATAAGTCATGCCACCTACACCAGCAAAACACCACTGCCCTACTTTCAAATAAGCAGAATTGCGCACATCCAAAAGGAAGCCTCCATGGTCCTCCATCACAGTGGCTAGGAGCTGGTATGTGGTAAAGAAGGGCAGAGGAAAATGTGTTGGAGAGTCCAGAGGAATGCAACATCAGAGAAGGTGCAATTGGTGACCACAAAACCCTATTTTGAAAAGCTGACTGGTCCTGATTGATACAATCAAGGGGACAGCAGGGATGGGCAGCAATACCTTTCTGCTTCACTCATGTTAGTCCATGAGTGTAAAGTCTGGGATGAACATATTTATAAAACAATACACTGCGATGAATAACCTACTAGCAGTCCTGCAGAACACTCCATCTCACCAGTGAACATTATTGACTTTATTGGCCATAGATTGTGAATTTAAGAATAATATACTTGGACAGGCATCACTCGCGAAATAATGTGATCCAATATACAAGAGCAAAGAGGCCCCTGTAAGAAGAAAAGATATAAGGAAAAGACACCTACTCACAGATGAACTAACGAGTAAAAGATGGCAACAGGAGGCAGATGATATCTGGCCGAGAGGAAACTGCCAAACAATGGAGATAATGTGACAAAAATATAGGAGTAGTAGTCTACATGCTGCCCTGTACAATCTCCTCCAAAGGATGACAAAGACGAGTAGCCAAATAGGTGATACATACAAGTTGGCTAACCCAGCCACTCAGGGTAATAGGAGAAAGGTCAAAGGAAACTGAAGGATTCCAGTGTATAAACAATCAGGAACAGGAACCACAGCAGGGAGCCATGCAAGCCACATAACACCTCAGCACCCTGACCAGACACAAGAGATGGTCAAAATCAGTAGAGAAGTACAGATAGGAAATTGAACAAAGGGAAGTAGGAGTGAAGGCAACTTACTTTTACAAGCAGCATAGGTACAATTAGGAAGGAAGGTACAATCAGGATAAAGAACAACACAAGTTTTGTGGTAAAGGTTGAGAGAGACATTGAGGGTGAATACATCCAACTTTCAACATCCACAGAAGGAGGAAAAAGGTTTTCAAGGACAGGTGATATATGGAACATGAAGCCAGTGGTTCAAATGAAGGGAAGTAAATGGCATAGAGAATAACATTAAAATCCCAATCTGGTAAGGGTGTGGGTCAAGGTTAATGACAGAGACAAAAGGATTGAAACAGAAGGGAAATAACATGGCAGAAATGGGAAAAACGAAAAGTAAATGATAATGTAGCTCTATAACCGGCAATGATCAAAACAGAAAGATCATTGTTGAAAAGCCAGGTAAAAATTCAGAAAGGTGAGAGATAGAGGAGATCAACAGTGAAACATATGCCACTTACATTGGCACACTGACATAGAAAAAGGGCAGACAGAGTGGGAACGAAAAGATGGTACCCAGATTGGAAGTACAGAACCTCTCGTAAGGAACCAGAAAAAAGTTATACATGAAGCCAGAGTGTGGGGAAGAATGGATGAAGCACCGTCGAATGAAGTTGGCAAAGGAGAGAGAGAGGAAGAGGTAATGTTGGTGACAACTGAAGAGGGAGAAGCAGCAGGAAGTAAGGTTGAGCTGGCTTGAACAGAGCCACCAGAAGGACCCAAGACAGAGTGGTTTGGACAATGGATAGGAACCTGGGAAGAAAACAGATGGTGGGATAGGCATAAATATAGAGGCCCATCCAATCTTGACTGAGGGCATCTATCACAAAGCTGAAGTCCGAGGAACAGGGGACGAAAACAGAGGTAATTTGGTATTAAGGTGAGTGGCAAAAGCATTCAGCTAGGGAGTACACAACTGATAGCATAGTCCTTTGAAAACCTTAGGGTTGAGGGACCACTCTGTGGGGAGAATCTTGTAAGGACAGGATAAACAATCTGTGACAAGATTGAGAGCACCTGGGATATGACTGGCCAGCAAATGAATGCAATGGCTGTTGGCCCAAAACAGCATGTCCAATATGTGAAAAGACAGGGACCACGACTTGGTGCCCCCTTTTTGGGTGATGCACAGATCACTACCATTTCCCCCCCTTAAAACCAGTAGGAAATGAGCCATTGCCCGACAAACTGCCGAAATTCTAGAAAATTGATAGGGAAAGTCAATTTGACTAATGACCAATGGCCTAAGATCTCTTGGGCATCACAATAGCCCCCACCCCACCTATATAGAAAAGCACCTGTAAAAATGATGCACCTTTGGTAATGGAGGAGGAAGATGGATACCAGTTGTTGTGTTGTTCCTGTTCAGCCACCAGGCAAAAGGAAAAATGGAAACCAGGTAATTCAGAGGATCCCTTGTGAGGTTCCACTGATCTTGAAGTACTCACTGAAGAGACCTCACGTGAGCTCAGCCAAAGGAAATAAGGGCCTCCAAAGAAGCCAAAGTCCCCAGAACAGAAACAACCTCTCATGCAAGTATAATACATGAGGACTGAGCCTTTCAAATTAAAGGCTCAATGGAATGCAGTCGAAGGAGAGAAGGCTGGTCCCAACTGAGAAGGAATTTGAGGAATACCTCAAGATGAACAAGGTATTGAGTAGGCATGAGAATGGACTTCTCCACCTTGACCAGCCAATACACTCAAGCAGCTACCAGGAAGAGAAACTGTGTTGATGAAAGAAGCCAAAATAGTGATGGAAACAAAGTCCATGCAAATCAAGGAGTCGGGAAAAGGTCTTGACCATCTGACAAAAACATAGGGAGTCGAAGTCCACCAAAAAGGGA